TGCTATCTCAAGGACTCCTTTATATATTTGACATGCAAGCCAAAAGTGTCTGTATACAAGATAACTGGCGAAAGATAGTGCCTGCATATACGAAATTTTGGTGGAGAGATGGAGGTGATAGAAGTCCAAGCTTTCCATCGACAAAGCTATCAGTTGCAAAACAACTGGGGAACAGTAAAGAATGGGCTTCCTTTAAGCCACACTCCTTTTTTCTGACCAAGTGGTTCCTACTATCCTTTTTTCGCTGCCCTGCCTTTCTTTCAAAATTTTTTGACAAAAAGTTGGGATTTGGCTTACCCCTGCAAAAGATCAGCATTGTTTACCTCCCAAATTCAGACAGTCTAGTAGAATGCAACTACGTGTTTGTTTATGGATAGATATAGCGCTACTTCACAGGACTCAGCCTGGGAACTCTAATTACAGCAGCAGATAGCTTGAGATATGGGTCCTTGGATGGCAGCAGACCTGGCTTGAGATACGAATTGGAACAGGCAATAGAGCCATCCAAAGTCAGTAGGAGGGTCGAAAAATAAACTTTAACGTTAAGGTGAAGCTTTACAATAGAGATATACAAATATTGCATTTGTTATATAATTTTTACCAACCACACACAGGTTATAATAGTGTCTTTAAGGTTTTAGATTTTCTTTTATGTTTTTTCTTTTTCAAAATTTGTGTTTCTTTTTTCTTTTCTTTGTTTGTTTTTCTTTTTTGGTCGTTTTCGTAGTTTCTTAGTTTAAACTTTTTCTCCTTTTTGTCTTATGTCCCTTAAGAAGAAGGAAGAAATGGAAGAAAAAAGAGGTCCTAAGATGGGAGCTGAGCCCAGGCTATATTATATCTTTAAATGTGGACACCATGTGTGGGGTATAGTGGCCAATATCAGTGTAATAATCAAGGTTGAGCATCTGTAGTGGACAGCCGGCCTTTGTTTAATTACTTTATTGAATTGCCTAAGCATGTATTTGTGATAAAGCATTAAAAATTTAATAAACCTTTTAGTACGTGGTTATCAAAGAAAAAAAAAATAATAATAATAATATATGAAAAAATAACAAAAAGAAATTTTTATGATCATTTAAGTTTGCCAAATAAATATATATATATATATTTACTTTGTATACCAAACTTAGACTATTCTCAAGCATCTAAATCAATTGATTGAAGAATGTTTATAATGATGCTCAAGCATCACAATCAATAGTGATATTTTTAGAATTAAATGCTTGAGTATACTCTTTTTCTATTTTTTTGATCTTAATTATGATGCCTAAAATATCTAAAAAAATCTAATAAAAAATTTTTTTCAAATGACTTGGTTATATCAGTTTTCCCTTTAAAGATTTTACTAATATTAATATTTTGCTATAATAGTAGCAACTTATAGAATCATTAGCAAAAGTTGCTTTGCAGCAACAAGAAGTAAAAAAAATTTTATTAAGTTTATGTGAGCAAAAAATAGAATAGCAGTATTCATTATGGTTTGGTTAAATATTACAAGATAGGTTGTATTAATTATATTCATATCAAGATATCAATTATTTATTTTAAAAGCTCGAGCATTAAAAATAAAGTAGCTATTTTTTTAAACCGGTTTAAAATTTGTTGTAAAATTTGTTGTAAATTCGTTGTTTATTATGTTTAATATGCTAAAATATAAAAGTAATGCTTGAGCAATCTTGATTAATAGTAAATTTTTGAAGAAAAAAGGTAGATTGTATTTTATTGATTTGTTAATTGAATTGGTAACTTACTTGATTGATTTATCTAATTTCTAACTAATTAAAAATTTATATCTAATCCATTAAATAAGGTGCTTGAAAACAGCTTTATTTATTTAATAGGCTAGGCTATTTGACAAATTTAACTAGACTAGTTTGACTAATAAATTTTGATTAACTAATTAGTTTATATAAATTAAAATAGTAAAATATAAATAATTAACAAAGTAGTTAATTAGAAGTTTAAATAAATAATCCTCAAATATAATTGAATTTTTATATAATTACTAAGTTAATTATATTCTAATATGATAATTGTATAAAGATATAATTATAAACAAAATACTAGATTATTATTATATAATATTTAGCTAATTAATAAAAATAATATATAATTATAACTTATTCACACATATTTAAATTTATTATTAAAATTTTAAAAAATCTTCAATAATAATTAACTTTTAATTTACTAATTAATTTTGATAAAATACTACTAAAATATTTGTCTTAATTTAATAATTATAAAGAGATTAAAGTTGTTAAATTCAATTACAAAATCTCAAGATTATTAAGAATTTGTATTATTTCAAATATTTTAAAATTAATTAAACTAATATTGAGTATTTGAAGGAATACTAAGCTTTATAAATTTAAAATTCTATAATTAGATTTTTAATAATTTGATCTTTTTATTAAGATAAATATTTTGATAGTTATTTTGTCAAATTTGAGTTAGTAGATCAAATATTATTCATTGTCAAAAGATTTAAAATTCTTAATAATAAATTTTAAATATATACAGATATAAATATTATCTAATTAGATTTAATAATCTATATTTAGTTAATAAATTAGTAATTATAAGATTTTTATCAATAAATTTGATTTAAAAAATTAATTTTATAACAATAATAATTATAAGTAATTTGTGATTATATAAAGCATTTTTATTATATTTAAGTTTATTGTTATAATCTAAAAAAGAACAAGGTAAAAGAAAATAGATCAAACTGGTGGGACAATTTTAAAGAATAATTAGACATAGTAATAGAGGAAGTTAATAGCTGGGTATAAACTAGTAAATAGTTCAGGTGGAATAAAAACTAAAATAGATCATAACAGGATGCAGATCCAGGCTAATTAACTTTGAATTCATTATCTGAGATAGATGATTCTACTTTGTCAGGTCACACATAGATACCAATGAGCAGTATTGTCATGGGACAGAGACACAGACAATGGACAGTCTGGGATGGGGCATCCTGGACATGTCTGCCAAAATGTTAATATTCCAGACAATTAAATATTATAATAAGAGTGTTTTTTTTAACCAATAAGAATGCTTGATAAACTTTGTGATATAGAACATCATCACGGATGTGGAACATTGTCTGGGACTGTCTGTGTCCCTGAAATTTTTATGGGACAATTCTGTGTACAAACACTTCCAATGAGCAACCGGGTGAGCCACACTTTAGTTTTAAAAATAGTATAAATAGCTATAAATAGATGTCACATTTTGTTGAAAATTTAAAACTATATCAGTGACATGATTACCAAAAAAAAAAGTATTATACAATCTTAATATAGGGTATAATTATAGAATAAACTAGTTTCAAAGTATAATCAAAATCCAATAAATCCACTTTAGTTATTAGGTTTTACATAGTAAAAATAAAGTTAAAATAAGAGAGTTAAATAGATAAGTTTATAGTTATATTACAAATATAGCAACTAGTATAGAGCCTCAAATAGGCTATTTAAATTAGGCATACAAATATATATATATAACTAGTTATTCTATTGTAATTTCAAATCAAATTTTAATAAAAAAAATATAGCCAAAAAAATTATTTTAATACTAGAAAAAACAAATTAAGTATAACAATAACAAAAAAGCTATACTACAATAAATAATATAGTTATCAGAATAGTGTAAAAAATTAAAAAAAATTTATAGTATCTTGTAATAAAATTATAATAATTTCAATAAAACTAACTCAACTTTAACTATAAACTGTGAATACTAAACTAGCAAGTTTGTAACAAAATTTTTTACAATAATTCTAATAAAAACTATATACATATAGTACAATGAGCAAATTCTGTAAAAGAATTTTTTATACTGCCCCATGATAAAAATCCGATTATTTTAATACAAACTAGTTCAACCCTAATGATATACTATAGCTATCAAAATCACAAGTAGGTTTGTAACTCATAATAGAATCACAATAAGTTAATACAAATTAACTCAAACTTAGCTTCTGTAATGACGAATAAGTTCTATAACAGAATTTTTTAATGGTAATTCATAATAGAATTCAAAATGATTCCACAGTAATACAAACTAACTTTACCTTAATCACATATAATAGAATAGCAAGTAAATTTATAACAGTATTTTTTATAGTAAAATAATAGAATTTATGATAATTAAAATACAAAAATCACTCAACTTTAACCACATAGTGTGTCACTAGAATGGCGAGTAAGACCTGTAACAGAAATTTTATAGTAACTCATGATACCTTAACTGCATAGAAATTATGTTAATTAATACAAACTAACTCAAGCACATACCGGAATAGTGTATAAGTTCTTTAAAAGAATTTTTATAATTACTCATGATAGAAATGACAATAATTCTAATGCAAATTAATTCAACCTAACCACATGTTGTGGTTACCAGAATTGTGAATAAGTTCTGTACCAGAATTTTTTACAGAACTTATAGCAGAAATCATGATAACCCCAACCTTAACCACTGTGTGCACTGCATTGGCGTGTAAGTTCTGAAACAGAATCCTCTATAGTAAATCACTATAGAAAACACAATAATTCTAATGCAAACTATTTCAACCACTGTGTGCATCGCAATAGCTGATAAGTTTTGTGATAGAATTTTTTATAGTAACTCACTAAACGATTTTTTTTTAAAAAAATACCACCCATCGCACTAATAAATTAATGCAGAAATTATACTATATTCTCAATCGTATTGAAAAAAATGCAAGGATAATTTTAGTTAATCCATTAAGATGAAGTTGAATATTAAAATGTTTAAATTACTCGAATCTATGGGAGTTTATTATGATAGGATTTATACAAACAAATTGATCAAATATAATTGTCAGCGTATAGCATAGCGCAGCTTTTTAATAGAGATAGAACTTGATCCTTTGCACAGAATATATTTACGCAAAAACACCTCACTTATTTTAAACTATTTCTCTTAATTTGATGGGTGGGTCTTTAGACTTTATGGTAATGTATTAGTTACTCATGCCTCAGAGAAATCCTTACGTAAGCAAATTCATTCAAATTTGAGCCAATACTCATAGTCATTTGTTGTAATAAGCTTAATGTAGCTTTTTTTATTTTCAGAATTTGTACTCTTGATGGGAAAATGATTATGAAACATAACCATTCGATTTAATAAAGTAAATATAGTTTTTGTCAAACACCATGTTTGTTTACCTTATATTGGTCTGAAACAATTACGGCTTAAGCCGTAATCCGCTAAAGCTTATGTAACTAATTACGGCATAAGCCGTAATAGTTCTACTGCATCTCTAATTCTCAATAGTATAGAGTCGTTGGAGTGTTTGCCAATTCAATTCTGAGCAACGAATTAAAAGACGAAATAATATATATGAAAGCACTTAAAATATGATGAAAAGTTTAGGTGAATAAGGTAATTAAAAAGTTTCATGATAATACTATAATGAGATAGATTAAAAACATCGATTTATAGCCAAAGAGTCTTTTTAGCACCATTTGTCTTCCTCTTTTATGATACAAAAAGCTTTAAATTTTAAAGCTTTCACCTATATAAACTTCCATTATACTGACGAGATAGTTACCACGAGTAAATATGTACGTACGTACGTACGTGTAATTGGCATTACAAGTTAGAGCCCATTCAAGCTGGGTTCTCTTTCAGTACAGGTGACACTACGCTATTAATTAGTTGATTCATTTTATTTTAGTGGTATCACCTATGCCATAAGAGATCTTTAGCTAGCGTGTACACTTCGTGAGTTTGCCAATGGAATATAATCGTAATGGTTATTCTTATTCGTTGATACGTGTGTTAGGTGACCCAGAACTTTTTCATTCATGTTCTAATATTTCTAATATGGTAAAGTATACATTTAACCGAATTTTATTTACCATTTTCAAACTTTAGGTTTTAAATCATTTGCCCCTCTTGAGCAAATAACAGTTTATAATCTTTTTTACTTTTCTTGTTCGTTATTTACATGTTATCTTGGTCTAGATTCGGCGAGATCCAGACATCTAATAAATGATATTTTAGATAAACGTATATTTAAGATTTCCAAAACTGATCTTGTGTAACATTGCATTTTGCTTGATTGAAATCTTTGTTCCGATTAGTGTATTTCTGTAGTGATAATCATATATTAAAATTGATTTCTTATATGTTTTGTTAGGCAATAAGGCGCTAAAATCGTAGAGCCAGTAAAATTAGCAGTTATACGTAAATTTTACTGCACTTATGTAATTTGTATGTATGCTTTAAGAGACCAAATTTCTGAGTCGAAGGCAAAATTTTGATGATAGTATAGCACAATGAACAATCGTTTTGAACCTAGGTGCTGCACAAAAAATGTGCGTCAAAATTTATAATTATTATTAGTTATGCTATATGATCTTTTTTAAAATTTAACATTTTTTTAAAACTTTAATAAAAAGTTTCTCACTGATCAATAGTTTGTTAAATATTTAATTTTTTTTTAATAATTACTATCCCAAGCCTAATAATTTTAATTTTATAATTTATAAAATAAAAATAAGAAAAAAAAAATCAATTTACAATTCACGAAAGAAGGAAAATTTTATTAATAAAATACATAATATAAATCACTGACTATCTAAAATTAATTTTTTATTAATATAACATCGTGTGAACTTATAATGAAAGATGTAAAATTGGTTAGGCAGATAAAAAGTTACAATCAATTTAAATTTAAAAGCTTTTATAAAACTATAGGAATCATGATTCTGCATTACGTATTATATTTTTTATTATAAAAATCTGCTTGTTAATATTCTCTTTCTATCGTGAATTGTCAATTAAAATTTAAAAATTACTTCTAGTGCAGTTAATTAGAAGTATAGATTTGCTATATATTTTTGTTAATTAGAATGTAGCAAAAAATATGCAATATAATAATTAATAATATTTTAAATATTAATCTAGTTCGTTTATTTGGAATATTATTTAGTTTTAAAACCAAAAGTTTGTCTAAATTACAATCAGCTTAATATATAATTTTACTAATTTTATACTTCAAAAATTTTTAAAAAAGAAAAAAAAATTAGTAAATATAAACAAATAAATAGTAAAGAGAACAAAAATTAAAACTTTACCAGAATTTTATTAATAATATAAAAATTTGGTTCTAAATTTTTATTTAAAACCCCTAAAAATAGTATACAAATTAATATTATAAATATGACAAACAATAAGTATGTTAATATTTTACTTAAATATATTTAAATAATTATTTAGTATTTGATTTCATGCTTTAAAATCTAAAAAAAAAGAAATATAAAAATTAATTAGTGCTAATTTTATACTTTAAATAAACAAATTTAAGAAATATATAAAATTAATAAACAAAACAAATAATAAAAAAGAAATCAATTTTTATTAGATACTAATTCAACTTAAAGTTAAATTTATTGTATAATAGATATTAGCATATTGTAAAATATCTAGTATACTTTAAGTACTGCACACATTAATAAGTATAATATCCGCTCTAAATACATATCCAAAATTTGCCCCAAATATATAAATACACTTTTTCATATTGTTTTCTAAGTACATTTGTTAAAGATGATTCCATGAGTGTGCACTTATAAAGGTTAAAATATTCTTCCTTTACAAGAATCAGGTAAATAGTATTAATACAGTATAATAAACATAAAATAAACAAAGAGTTTCAACCTTTAGAGAGTAATTGCAATTTGACTTACATTATATTAACAAAATAGCTTGTTTGGTTTCAGAAAGTATTATAAAAAGTCTAGCCTTTAAATAGTCATTCTTAGTGCTTCGTGAATTATAAAAAATATGTTTTTATTTTAACCAATTATTATAAATATAAGTAAACTAACCTCTGTATAAGTACTATCACTTTAGTCACATTAGATTTTGGTAACTAACCTAGTGATCATATCGAGGTTAGATTGTATTATTGTCATACAATTTCATCGTTTCAATGTTTACCATTTTACCATTTCATCATTTCATCAATTTCACCAATACACCAATTCATCAATTATGCCACTTACATTACTGACTGAAAAAGTAAATTATTTCACTGCACTAGTTCGTTTCATCAGTACCTTTAGTATCAATCATTAACGTTCATACGTAATTATAAATCTTTTAAGACATGTATGATCACAACTATTAGCATTAAAACAGTAGCATCTACTATAACTTGTTCAACTGAACTCTACACTAATCGCTTGTTCTGATAACGAATGGATACCTGATATTTATGAACAACAAATTATTGTAATATTGTAAACTATGCACCTATTTCTCTTTCTGAAAATGGTTGTAGTGCTTCCGGTGGTCTTGAATGAAGCAGTACATTCACAAATGATGCTGGTCAGGTTGCTCATAATTTTATCAATTCAACATTAGCAAAAGATTATTGTAGAGATTATTATAAGGATTCTATATATTCTATATATAATATATACAATCATGTGGCTAGAACTTATTACTTTACTGCTTATCAAAATTTATTCATTAATAGTTTTAGATTTCTTCAACCAACTGAACTTATTGAAATTCAGAACTATAGATTACAGCTTTGTAGAGCGTAATTTCATTATTGTATTTCCTCGTAATAATGTGCACTTGCGTGTTATTTTATGAACCTGTGTGATATTTCAGGACGTACGTACATGTGCAATATTTCGAATTAAGCTCAGATACAGTGTAGCAAAAATATTACAAATAGGGCACATTATTTTGAGACATGTATACGTACGCATTACGTACGTACGTACATAGGCATTATTTTGAATCAAATATGCAATTTCAGAAAGTGGAAATTAAAATAACTCACATGTGCGTCAATTTTATTATATTTATTAGACATCAACCCCTAAAATCTGATAATCTTGCATATTTTCTATTAGGAAAAATTACATGCATGATATTTTCGCCAACCATGTCTCTTAAAATCCTTATCGTTAATCTTTGGTAAAATTTGCAAATCAACTCCGATTAACATTGGTTAGCATATGCATGATCATTTAGGTTTCGATTTTAAATTTTTTCAATAAATTTATCGGAAAAATTAGTATTTATATATTAAGAAGAGTGACCTTGCGCATACATACCGATTAGAGATGTGCGAATGCAAGTTTTTTTTTTGGTATTGCATTACATAATGCAACATTATATCGCATGTAATCCTGTATATATATTGTGGACCTCTCAAACCCTATATACTTTTGTGTTATTACTGAGGTTATCATAGACTATTAGATTTATATAGTAGAAACAGACCTGGTAGATTAATTTTTTATTGGGTTTCACAGAAGTGTCTATAAAGTCTAAAGTGTTTTTTGATGAAATGACATATATCAAAATTACATTAATAACTCCTATGCAGAATGGAACATCACCTGCATAATAACGCCAATGTGCATATATATATAAAGCGTTATTTTGTGGATAACTGTACGTACGTACGGTTGGGGATGTATGTCAACTAAGTAAATCAAAAATACATGTGGTTATATAATAAAATTTATTACTGAAAATTTTTTTAGCTAAGTAATAAATTTATAATAATTCATTGCAAATT